AAGCAGCCGTGGCCAGATGTCAGGAAAGAAAAGGCATGGAGAGAGCTGTCAGGCATAGGTAGGATGAGGGGTTTTGTGCTGGGCTTCACTCTGCAGCAGTTGCCTCTTTAGCAGTGCGGGTGCACTCACAGTGACTTCTTCACACAATTAGTTAGTTAGGCACAGATCTGGGCCAGGGTTGCCCCTGACTTTGATGTGCCAAGGCACTACTCAGAGACCTCTCCCTAGGGTGTGCTCACCACAAGGGAGAAAGGTGATCACTGCTGCCACAGTGGCCACAAAGTCAGCTTCCATTTGGGAAGTGCAGCAGCTTGCTACTGCTGTCCTGTTGGCTAAGCCCTGGACTGGCAGTAAGGTTATGCCACAGTTTTAATGCTGCTTTTCCCCTTGACTCACAATGCCAGTGGGTCACTTCACAGTCCAACTATGCCCCTAGACATTGATGCTGCTGCATCTCTTTGCAGTGCTGTGGTTGGTGTACCAAAGCTGCCACTCCAGGCAGGTCTCTGCAGCACAGTACTCTGCTATCTTCATGTAGAGTTGTGAGCCAGCACAAGGAAAAGCTGCAGACTTGCACTGGCAAGAGATTTGAGCAGGGCTTATGAGCCTGGGCAGAGAGCCACATGTCATGGCTCCTGTGCTGGGGTTGTGCACTGCTGAGCAGGGCTTGCAGCATCTGCCCACACCACCTGGGAAGCATTTCATTTTTAAGTGCTTTCAATAACAAAAGAGCACCTTTCACACTCGTACATCTGCATTGTTTCTGTGATACTGGGGAATAAGCCTTGTTTTTCCCGCTTGATAAAGCCATACACTGAAGGTGTGTTGCAGAACACGCTCTAAGGTGCTGCACCACCATCTGCAGTCTGATGGGAAGGGAGGAGGGCAGAGAAAGAAATGCCTGTCAGACCTTGTCGATACAAACATTCATGGGTGTGATTTTAAAAAAATGCTTATTATGTTTTGTAAAGGGAATGAATAATTGGGAGATGAAAAGAACTGAGATACTGGTGAAATGTGAATGGAAGTTGAGGAAAATGAGCAGATGGAAGGTGAGAGCTAGAAAATAGAGTCACACTGTGATCTGCAATGTGTCACTGAGAGTTTGAAGCCTCCCGCTTTTAGGGAAAAAAACATGCCACCCTCCTTTTTCCACCACAAACATCCTGAAAGGAAGGCCAGCACAAACACATCCTCACTCCTGTGGGCTGCAGCACATCAGCATTGCTGTGATGAAAAGCATAAAATGAGGGATCAGAGAACTGGAAGATGTCTGTTCAGACAAATATGCTATGATATTCTGGCAGTTACTGTTAGCTCAGTGCAGGATTTTGGGACTGTACTTTTTATGGGAAACAAAACTGATGCCCAACACACATCAACTCCTGTGAGCTGAACAACAGCAGCTATACTCTGACAAAAGCCTCCTGAAACCAGTGCAGCTAGAAGGCCTGCATCCAGTCTTCTTACATGGTTTTTGACTGAACTGCAGACAGTTGCATTAAAGTGACCACACACATAAAGCCATCTGTTCTCTTAGATATTGATGTACATACCTATGCAGTGCTGTCATTTGAAATATATGGCTGGCCTGCTGGAGAAACAGCTGGGTACTGTTGATTTTCCAGATTTCCAAATATTCTTGCTGAACAGTATAACAACCATGGGGGGGTTGATTGACGCTTTAAATGGACCACACTCAGATGGTACCTACGGTTCAGAAGTGAGACTTGGAATTCATTTCTCTTTACATTTTCACTTTGCTCTCCTAAGCAAGGTTATCTAGCCTTGGAATCTAGGGTAGTAAAGTCTATGGCCATTGACTTGTCTTTTAATTGCTTTGGATTTAGCTCCTACCCCACTGTGATCATGTACTTTTACAGGAGTTAAGTCTCCTGCATGGATCATGTTAAAGAAAGACAAGCACATTGTCTGCCAGCTTAGGGCAGTGACCCTATCCATGTGATACAAACAGTTGTCTACTTTTGCTAAAATTTAAGTCAACCAGATCCTCCACAAACAAGCATCTTTCAAACTGGTTCCTGAGAATTTTTAGCTGAAAAAGGAGAAAAACCAGAAGTCTTTGAATTCAATTATGCTCATTTAAAATTCCAGAGTTGCAGGACAAGTGTCACATTTCTGGTGAGTATTGAAGGTAATATAGTGAAGGTGAATATTGAAGGTGTGAGGCAGTCCAGGCCATGATATGTAGGAAACATTGCCTCACAAGTCATGAAACCTGTTCTTTCTGGTGTTAACAGATGAGAACTCATCAGAACAGGGACTTGAATGTAGGTAACCAATGAATCATAATGTTTAGACCATATGTTTAGAACAGGTCAGATGAATAGCACCCTGGGAATGTTTATTTCTCTGTCATTTATCACACAGTGACCATAGATGTCTGATGGTGAGACACATCAAAACACAAGTGACTAAAATGTATTGATAGGAGGAGTCGGCCAATGTAATTTTTGTTTCCTGCTTAGATAATTAGTTCATTCCTTGCCTAGGTCAAAATGACTTTGACATGTCTTGAATGTTAGAAACTAACTGCATTCATTCTTCTAAGTGTAATTAAATTGTATGATTTTAGGCACTATGATGGCCTCTTGGCCTCCACCTGTTACTCCAGAAGGACAGGAGTCCTCTACAAGTCTTATAAAACCCAGAGTCACAAGCATTTTTCAGGAAAAAAAAAAAAAACAACAAAAAACCCCTGATGTATTAGGGAAATGGAAATCCAAACACAAGTCCTTTTTTTGTGGTGTCTTAGAAAATAGCGATGATTGTTCAAACCATGACTGTGCCCTTCAGACAGATGTGAGAATTGCTTATTTTAGGATATATATTTCTGCTAAAAGCAGCTTTTAGCAGAAATAGAACAGAAATTGTTGCTGAAGAGCTTAGCAGATACGAAAATCCCAATTTGATCCCTCTTCACATTATTCAGAAAGGCTGGGCATAGCATTTGAATCATTTGGCATTTTGAATTTGGAGGTCAGGTGGGTTACAATGCATCTACTTGATGCTCTGGCTATTTTATCTCTGTGTGAAAAGGAATAGCATGGGACCTGCACACAGAGCTCGGCATTACATTTTTCCCAAGGTGGTGTGAATCCAAGTACCAGTATGGAGGAGAAACTGGTATCTTGCTGTTCTAGATGCAAGAAGTTTTGTGTATGTAATGACATGAAAGCAGAGGTGATCAGCTGTGATCACAAAAGGCAAAATTGTGAGATTTTTCACAGCTGACTTAGAAAAGAAACTTTCTGCTGTGTGCTGGCAAATGCTGCAAAGGATATGCAACTTTTTACATCCATTGAAGGGCAGTGGATCAGACAGAAGCAATACATTGGTGACAAGTATTAATCAGTACTATTTAATAATAATTTAATCTGGTAATCCAGAAAAGAAAGTAAAAACCTGCTAATGTTGTGATTTAAATCCACTCTGTATCAGTTTTGAAGCCATATGATTAGTTTTTACTGCCACGTACTAGAAATATGTAAATTGCTGTTTTGCATAATGTCCCAAAGCAGTTGCTTTTCTATATTAAAATGCAATCATAAACATTATGCATGTCACATATTTGTAAAAAATATGCAGAGAAAACATTTGGGCAAACAAAATTTTCTCTGAAAATTTTGGCATAAAATCTTCCCATTGAGCAACCAGTTTTTATTATCTTTCTTTGGAGTTTTTTTTTTAAAGAAATTTTTTTATTATGCTTTAATGAAAGCTCCAGGCATAAGTATAATTATGATACAAGTTATTCACAGTCATGGCATTCAATCCTGATCAAGTGCTACAGTACCAAAGGATGGAATTTATTAAGGATTCTTATCAAAAGAGAGGTGACATCTAATTTCATGAAATAGCTAAAGCTTAAATGAAAAACTGGGAACCACAAACACATCATGTAGGGAGTGAGAGCTACCCCAAATTATAAAAAGCTAACCATGAGAAAACTGGCTCCTTAAAATGATACTATGCACTATGTGAATGACTGGGCTGGATGACTCTACCCCCACTTTTGAAAAAGATCCCTTTATAAAAGTTCTCGAATCACACAGTGATTTTGTTCTAAAGCTCATTGTCCACTCCAAACTTGCTAAGAGGCAACTTCTAGCCCAAAGCAGAGAAAATGGAAGAAAACAAATCTCTGTAACAATAAACTCATCAGATCCTCCTTCAATAGGCAAGCAAAGAGTACACAGACCTCAGAAAATGAGTCTTGAATTTTTCCACTATTTTAAGCCCATTCAGCTTTTGTTACTGCAAGAAATCATGATGTTCTACTTTCTCTAGTGTTTACTCATTTTTTTACATGTTGGAGTTTTTTGGTCCACTAATAACAATGGTTCAGTTATGCTTCCCACCTTGAAGACAGAAATGAGTATAAAATAGACTAGCCCTGAATAAAGTTCTCCTTCAAGGGTGTAGATAGGGAGAAAAACTGCAGGACTGGGCACACCAGAAGCTTCCAGAGTTAATATTGTCATATTAACTCTGGCTTCTTCATTGGTCTTGCGTAACTCATGGTAGCCCTGCCCCTTAAACTCCTACATCATGTGATTTGTCTACTTGTATTTCTTGAGATTTGCAACAAGCATGAGCTGAGACTTGCCCCTGCAAGCACTTGTGCAAATGACTGCTTTCCAGCAGTCAGCTTGTTTCACACAAGCAGTTTTGCCTAGGAAGACATCAAGCACCCATGGTACTGTAGGGTCAGGTCTTTTAAGTTGGTGAGCACGTTCAGCATTATGGATAGTAGGTAAGCATTAAATATTTTGACAGCATTTGAGATTTCCAGTGAGTCACATCCCTGTTCGTATTTAAAGGAATGTTTCTCAAATTCCTTATGTTTTCCACAGAAAATAATTAAGAAGCCATAAAGATGAAAATGGACTAAAGCAAAGAAAGATCATAAAACAAAACCAGGAAGGTGAGTGCTTCTGCAGCAGCCCTTGCTACCACGTGTGTCTTCTTGCTTTCAGGTCCCAGTCCGTGGTGGAAGCTGGCACACTGAAACACGAAGACCCGGGGGAAAGCGAGAACACCCAACCACTGCTGGCTCTGGACTGAGGTCCCACATGCCCAACAGACACAGATCCATGAACAGACTTCCACCGTACCAGAGACCCACAGAGCACACCACACACAGACACATGCACACACACATGTGTTTTGCTTGATGGCAAGTCCTTCATGTTTCCTGACCAAGTAACAACCGTCACCAGCCATCCGTCCGTGCGGCCGACGCTGAACAAAAACTGAGAAATTTCTATTGACACAGGAATCTGTCCATATACAAAGAATTTCTTTTTTTTTTTTTTTTTGAGTTATGACATTAAAATATTGGAAATAGTGGAACTGCATTCTCTGTTTAAAGAAACCAGGGTATGTCAGTAGTTTTCCTGAAGACTTCATCAGGGATGTTCATTTTATAGAAGCTAAGGAGTTGAGTTTTAAAGAAAAGCATCTCGAATTTAAACTTTGCACTGTAATCAGTAAGTGTAATCTGCATCAGAGGGCAGAATCATCATTTACACAGTATTTGAGTTTTACAGAAGGATTTTGCATTTAAAAAAAGAAAAAAAAACAACCAAAAAAAACCCCCCAAAACCCCAATGCCAGCATAATGCCATTCAACATGATACTTTGTGACTGCCTCATCCATGCTGCTTATTAAAGGGGGGAGGTCACATTTCAGTATCTAGCAAAAATTGTTCTTAACTTTTGAAGCCCTCGTAAAACTGTCAGCTAAAGTGGAATGAGCTGTGTGGGCAGCAGACACGCACAATTTGAAATGCAACCATTTAATTTTAATGTGTTTTTCCACAGGCAACTCAGGAGCCTATTAGATATGTGCGTGTGCATGTGTGTGCACATGTGGTGGTGGTGGGGTGCCAGGGAGACCCATTGGACACATTCAGCAGTGATTAATGGTTCAATCCAGATTGTTTCATTCAGGTCACAACAACAAATGAAAGCTCTGCAGAGCCATTTACCCCCTTCCCTCCTGCAGTCAAGGAAAGGTGTAGCCAGAAGGGTATGCTGATTGCAGATAGAGGCCATGGCTAAAATGGAAAAGGACAACTTATAATTAATTATTCAGTACCAGCTTCTGCTAGAAGGAAATGCTGAAGAATAGAAGAACTGAAATGCCAAAGATCAGTTTGTTATTTCTCTCTTTGCTCTAGCTGCAAAGAATACCATCCCTTCATTGAAATGGAAACCGGATTAAAGAAATAAAAGAAAAATCATTATCGAATTGCATGTTCAGTGACTTTATTTCCTAAAACAGTTACAACCACTGTACACACCTTTATTCTTCAATTATATTGCCATATATTGGCAATTTACTAGAACAAGTGGTTAGCAACAACATATCAAAGGTAGCAGAGTAAACCATACATACAAAATGAGATGATAATAGGCACAAGGGTTTTTAATGTGCCCCTGGAACATTCACTGAATTCTTAAGTGTTACACTGAAGTGACAATATAGTTCAAGTGGACATGGTCAGCCCTAACAGATGGACTAACAAAATACTGCCTTTATCTACAACAACATTTTATGCCTGCACAGGGCAGAAAGGACATCCTGCCAGATCCTATCAACACACCTGGGATTTACGCACCAGTATTTGTACAGAATAACCTCATTCAGACTAACCTCCTCCTACAGCAACACGTTATCGATACAAAGCCTGGCCTCCATGATAAAGAGTCTTTAAGGCAGTGGATGGTCCACGCAAGGCAACACAGGAGTTAGAAAAAGAAGCAGAAGCTTGCAGCTTCCAGAAACATTAAACATAGAAGATGATTGAGCCCATTTATCTTTGGGATTTCTTCCATTCCCAATCCCCTGACATTACCACCTATTACAGGATGTCAAGTCCCAGTAGAAGGATATAGCTCCCTTCCCTTCCCTGGGCTCACGGACACTCAAAGGCATTTGGATTTGTCAAAGAGAACTTGCTTAAAGTAGAAAGCAAAAACTTAGACAAAAAAGACAGACATTGGCTAGTATACTGCAGCATTAAGGAAGAAATACTTTGGTTTGTGATTTTTCTCTGTTAATACAGAGAAAAACACCTAATCGCTGTTACCCCCACTGCCACTGAGTCTTTGTGATGATCTGTTACAATCACTGTTCATTGAAGTGGGTCTTGTTCTGTCCAAGAAGTGCAAATATCACTGAAATCCAGCCCTTGAAGATCAAACCTTGCAAAGGATTAGAATTATTTCTTTTCTTTAACTGTGATATGAATAAATACATATGATGCCTTGTATATAACTGTATGAAGCTTGTATTTAACCATAGGATCTTATAGAGACTGTGCAAAGAAGGTAATGACAGGCAGGATGGAACCCACCTCCTATCATCATGATGAGTATATACTGCCTTACAGACTACATTGCCCTTGTCTGCCATTTTCTTCTGTAAATAAACCTAACTAAAAAAAAAGTTAAATTGCAATGGATCTCCATTTAAAAAGCATTTCCATTCATTTCTTCTCTTGGCACTTCCAACGCTGAAAAGCTTTTTCAAGACAAAATACCAGTTGGCAAACAGGAATACCTAAAATAATATACCAGTTGTTCACTGCATAATTTCTGTAGTCTGCTATATGTATCTTCCCCATGTATATAGCTAATACAGTAACTGTACCTAACAAAACAACATGCTCTCAGCTTCCTGCCTTGTAGGCATGGAGTAGATTCACTTCAGTGTTGCAGGAGCTATTCATAGTACACCTTGTCTTATTAAAGGCACTTAAGATTTTTAAATGGCCAATGTATCACTACACAATCTAATGAACAGTGCTACTCCAGCACACACAAGGCTTGGGAGATTACTTTTATCTATTGCCAATTTTATCTATTTGTCAATTGCAATTGGAAAAGATAAAGTGTGAGCCTTCAAAAGAACAATGAAACAATATGAAGGATGGCATGGATTTTCATAAATAAAACTCCAAAATTTTACCTTTAGCATTTAATCTGAGCTATAGAAACTAAAATGCAATATCAATAAAAATATTCCTAAACCACCAATTTTTGTTTCAAAAGTTTTTGTTTCTTTCTTTACAAACTGTCTTTATTTAAGAGAATTACAAAATCGTTTATAATTTATACTGCTTGATCACTTCACAGAGATATAAAATACAGCTTCTGATTTAACAACTACCAGGAGATTTAAAAAACGTTTTTACTCTTTTATCCCTCACAATAATGAGTACCTTATTTCCACTTTTGCATAATTCTCCTAATAACCTCCAGAAGTACCTTTAAATTTTCTAAAGTGTGAAACTTATAAATCTTTTCATTTTTCATTATTATTAACTGAGAACTGTTACTTTCTTGTACATTGTGTATATTCTCAGGATTATTTTTGATATGGACAACACATTAAAACCTAATTATCTTAGCTGTCTAAAACTGACTCTTGGTCAGAGAGGGTTTATCAGTTTACTATTCAAAAAGGAAATTAAAGTGCACACTTCCAGAAACTGGTTACACTAATTTATTGTGTAATCACCATGTGTTATATGGCATTACAAAATTTAATTACCTAGTAAAATACAAAATCTGAAGAGCATTCAGCTTATGGGAATGCAAAGCTCTTATCTGTATTTTGCTTTAGCAAATGCAGCATTCAGGTCACAATATTTAGGTACTACGACATAGTCTCTGCAGTAATAAACCACTGAGTATTACACAAATAAGATGACTGTTCAGCGTCCTTTGGACAACAAAGCCAAAGCTGTGGAGACTAAGTAACTTCAATGTCTCCTTGCTTAGTGTTTTTCTCTTACAACCCTCAGAAGTGATGCCACTGCTCTGGACGAGTCCTGAGCATCCCAGCACAACTGTCCACACCCAGCTGGTGTTGCAAGTGAGTAGGTCACAGCCTGACATAAACATCACAGAGCAACCTCTGGTCTCTCTCTCCTGTTAGTGTTCTTAGAAGTTAATAGTGGAGGGTCCTGCACTCTCCATTTCCCATTAAACAGTACAGACCCAAAAGACTTGACAACTTCTTAAACATCCAGCAAGTTCTCTTTCTTGAAAATAGGCCTTTTTATGATATAGTAAATTCCGTATGGCAAATACAGAGCATCCTGTAAACAGTACTGGGATCAGACTCATTCAGCATTATGTTCTACGTTTCAAAATAAGGAAAACACCATTAGGTCAATTAGAGGATCATTCTAGTACTCTGTAGGATGCTGGCAGCAGAAGTTAATACAAGTTAATAACCTGAAGCTCTTTGTCTGCTCTGCATTCTGGCAGGAAACCCAAGTTAGACCTTGTCCTTCTGCCCAAAGCACAAGAAATTCTTCATATATTTTTTTTCTGCTGAATGACCACTCAAGGGCAGCCAAGGAGGAGCCCCTGGAAAGAGGTGCCCCAGACCCTTGTTGAGTAGAAAAAGGATATCACAACACAAGCTTTTGTAACGACAGGAAAAACAGCAGCTCACCATATAATCCTATGAACTGTCAAGCACTTTACAATCTGAGCCCACAAATGTCACATTTGCTCAACATTTTCCAAAATCACATTATCAAACTGAAAGTTGCCTGCTAACTAAGAGAACTGTTTTGTTTTAGAAGAACAAAGCTTCACTAGGCAGCTGATTATGCAAGTTTCTATTTGCATTTCCAGGAAGGCAAAAGAAGGCCACACTTAGCAAAAATTAAATCTGTTCATACATAATGTTTTCCTTCTGCAGATAGCTAGAGACACACTTGTATATATAGTGTTTTTTCTTTTTAAAAATAGTGGTTAATTAAAGAAGATTTGTTCATAATTAAGCTAGAAAAATACAATTACTCAGGTAGAAAAAGTACAAAACTCACATAATCCATTCACATTATCTACAGTGATAACATAGGGACATGTTCTAAGCCTAAAGCAGCTAACATTACAACTGCAGACTGATTTTCAAAGTCGGTTGTGTGCATACGTTTGCAAATATCTTACATATTGCTTCCCAGATAAAAGCCTGGGAGGTATTTCCTAGATGTAGAATCATAAATCTTGTGCCTGAACGTGGTCAAGCATATGACCAACTGACTGGTTCTGTACATATAATATAGGCATGGCAAAACCATCTGCACATTCCTCAGTTTGAAAATCCACACCTATTGCTTTTTGGCTGACAAGATTCGTATTTTCAAACTTGCAGCCAGAAAAACAATACACATCAGTGCTGTATCAGTATGAAACAAAAAATGGCTTCTTTTTTTTAGTTTTTTCCTTTTCTTTTCTTTTTTTTTTAAACCAAGTCCTCTCTGATTGTAGAATGTCATCCTTTCTTATCCTTAAAATACTTGTATACTTCGTATGCTGGATAAATTAATCCCATTTGCATACTCCAAAGAGTTAAAGCTGATATGCGCCACATATCAGAAGGAACCCCTTAAATAGCAGGAAGGGTGCGTCTCTGTTGTGCTGTTAACTCAGGGTGCCACACATCCACAATGAATATCAGGCGATAATTTTCAGCGTCCTGCCATACTTCATGTTCGAAAGAGTCATCAAAAATAAGAACTTTCCCTTCTTCCCAGGCTCTGCAA